CGAGGAAGAGGAAAACGAGGACGATGACGAGGACGAGAATGAGGAGGAGGAGGAGGAGGAGGAGGATGAGGATGAGGATCAGGATGAGAATGATGATGAGGAGGAGGAGGAGGAGGAGGAGGAGGAGGAGGAGACGAGCGTACAAGGAAGGAGGAGGAGGAGGAGGAGGAGGGGAGGAGGAGGAGGAGGAGGAGGAGGGGGAGGAAGAGCAGGAGGAGGAGCAGGAGGAGGAGGAGGAGGGGGAGGAGGAGCAGGAGGAGGAGGAGGAGGAAGAGCAGGAGGAGGAGGGAGGGGGGGGGGGCGGTGGCCCGCTCGCTGGCTAGCCTGGTTCCCATCTTTTTTCTGTACGTTCTCCCACTCTGCCACCTAGCCGGCCAGCAGGAGCCGGATCCAGAACATCCCGCCCTACCCCTCAAAAGCCCCACAATGTTCACGATGCTGCTGCCTTTCAACATGGGCGCTTTGGCGTCGACGTTGCAGAATGCGCGGGGCGAACGGGGCGCGGCGCACATTCTGGGCGAAAGGGCAAAGCGTCGCTCTCGCCCCGGCACAGCGCTAATTTCTCCGAGCGACTCACTGCCTTCCCGCGAGAGCACGACGCAGTGTCTTGTCGCTCGCCAAGTCGTGGATCGCAGGGCCGCGCGCGAACGGACCGAAGTGTCAGTCTCGCCGCGCCGCCCAGATGCCGCCTGAAAGTGGCGACCCCGCCCTGGCGGGCACATAGCTTTCGCTTGCCACGCCGTTGGGGGCGGCGCCACGCTCGAGCGGGCGGCTTGCCGCCCTCGCCACAAGGCTCTGCGCAGATGTCGCCTGGAAATGGCATTCGCGCCAGGTGCGCGGCGCAGAACTTCGCTCGCCGAAACGCATCAAAGCGGCAGCGGCAGCGGCGGCGGGGCCGAGCGAGAGCGGGCAAAATGCTGTCCTCGCCAGAGCGCCGCGCAGCTTCCGCGTGAAAGTGGCAGTGCCGCTCCCGCGCCGCGCGTGCTGCGCCTTCGCCGCGCTCGTCGGACGCCCGGCCGCCCGAGAAACAGGCTAAAACGGTGCTCTCGCCGCACCGCCGCGCAAGGATTCTCTGAAGTTCCGCTGCCGCCCGTGCGCGGCCCCGGTTTTCCATTGGCCAAGTCGTCGGAAGCGGGACCGCGCGCGCGCGCCTTTCGTTCGCTAGGTGGGAACGCGTTCCAGGCCCAATCTCAAGGTGTGCCGCCATTGACTGTTATCTTGTCGCAGTCTGGGGAGAGTGGGAATGGGCAGGGCCCGCTGACTCGCTCGACATGGCTAACTTGACTCCTGCCCGCACTCATACTCACACTCATCCGCCACCGTGCCGCCTCTGGGCACGGAGTAGGCGTGTCCTCGGGTCCTTTGCCCAATCCATTGAGCCTCAGTCCTCACCCCTGAGAAATCTTCAAGGGGCCTGGACCCCAAATTCCCACATCTTCCGGGGCTTGGCACGGTTTCCTTGGCGCAGCTCGTCGCGCGACTTTTTCGGGCCCAAGAGGGCTCCCACGCAGGCCCACAGAGTCCCAAGAGGCCTCCAAGACGGCCCAAGACAGCCTCGAGTCGCGGAGAGATCAGCCCAAGACGCCCAAGATGGCACCCAGAGAGGCCTAGAGCCTAGAGGCCCCCAAGAGGCCCCAAGAGACCTCCAAGAGGCCTCCCAAGAGAGCCCCAAGTTCCTGAGGTTGTCGATGGATTTTCGCGTTCCCGCCTTGTCGGTATTCCCACGCTCCAAGACGGCCTAAGAGGTCCCCAAGACCGCCCCAAGACGGCCCAAGAGGCCCCCAAGAACGCCCCAAGACGGCCCAAGAGGGCCCCAAGACGGCCCAAGAGCCGCCCAAGCCGCGCCAAGAGGGCCCCAAGACGGCCCCAATAGGGGCCCAAAAGAGGGAACACGAACCGAAAATCCAAGCCCCCCGCGCCAAGAGGCCCCTAGGAGGCCCCAAGAGGCGCCCAGAAGGCCCCAAGAGGCGCCCAGGAGGCCCCCAAGAGGCGCAAAAGAGGCCCCAAGAGGCCGCCAAACGGCCCCCAAGAGGCACCCAAACTGCCTCGGGGAGGCCCCCGAGAAGCCTCCCCAGAGATCCCAACTAGCATCCAATAGGCTTCATCCCCACAAACCAGGCACGGTGGTAGGATGGGCCGAAGGCCATTCGATACTCGCCTCCGCTTGTATGTATATCCAAGCGTATGCTTGTACAAGTGCCAACACTGATACTCGTGCTCCCTCCTCTTACTCCCTCCGGTTCCCTACTTTTCCTCCTCCGCCTCCCTCCTCCATCCTCGTCCTCCTCCTCCTCCTCCTCATCCTCCCCCGTCTCCCCATGCAGGACCCCATTCACTCCCTCATTGTCTCGCTCCTGCTCCTGCTCCTGCTCCTGCTCCTGCTCCTGCTCCTCCTCCTCCTCCTGCTCCTGCTCCTCCTCCTCCTCCTCCTCCTCCTCCTCCTCCTCCTCCTCCTCCTCCTCCTCCTCCTCCTCCTACTCTTCCTCCTGTTTCTCCTCTTCCTCCTTCTCCTCCTCGTCCTCCTTCTCCTCCTCCTCCTCCTCCTCCTGCTGCTCAGTCCCCTTCTCCATGCTACTCATCACCCTCATGATCATAATAACTCATCTTCTGTCCTGCTCATCCTCGTGTTCCTCATCCTCCTCCTCCTCCTCCACCTCGCCCTCGCCCTCCTGCTCCTCCTTCAACCCCTGCTCCGTCTCCTTATATTCCACCTCCTCCTCCTCCTTCTTCTCCTCCTCCTCCTTCTCCTCCTCCTCCTTCTCCTTCTCCTCCTCCTCCTCCTCCTCCTCCTCCTCCTCCTCCTCCTCCTGCTCGGCCCCTTCCGAATCATCACCATAATAACCCATGTTCTGTCCTGCTCATCCTCGTGGTCCTCCTCATCCTCCTCCTCGCCCTCGCCCTCCTGCTCCTCCTGCAACGCCTGCTCTGTCTCCTCATCCTTCACCTCATCCTCATCCTCCTCCTACTCCTCCTCCACCTCCTCCTCCTCATCATCAGCAGCATCATCATTAAGCTCATCTTCATCCTCATCCGCCTTCGAGCATGAACATATTGATCAACAACAACAACAACAACAACAACAACATCAGCAACAACCACAACAACAACTGCAACAACAACAACAACGACAACAATAACAATAACAACAACGACAACAATAACAACGACAACAACAACAACAACAACAACAACGACGACGACGACGACGACGACGACGACGACGACAACAACAACAACAGCAACAACAACAACAACAACAATTACTAGCACGTGGGGACACTCCGTTCTCACCAGTGCCAGGGCTTTCATAGGAGGCGGGCAATACCCCCACTTTGTGGGGGGGCCGGTTCAAGCTCTACCAAATTTCCAAACGACTCTTCGCCACCACCCACACCCAGCTTCCCGCCCTATGACGTTCGGACACTTCACTTCGTGGCATGCGGACGACCGTGGCTACTATTCAGGGCCCCGCGGCCGACGACGACGGCGTGCGCGCGCGAAGAAAAAACGAATGTGTCCCGCATGGTATTATTTGACAGGGATGATGGCCCTGGCAGGTGCGCAACCGTTGTTGCAGAAGTTCGAAAAAGTTGCTCGCAAAAGCCCGTTTGACAGAAATGTTTAAAAAGTGTTGGGTTTCCTACGAATCCGCAAGAGCGCGCGGGATGAAATTTTGACATTTTTTTTTGAAAAACCATTGGTTTTTTGATGTTTTTATGTTAAAATCGCTACGAAAACTAAGGTTTTGGAAGGATTTCGTCTTGCGCGCGCGAATGTCCACTTTACCTTATTTTTTGCAAGGGATTCTTGAAGTTTGGTTATGTTAGAACAAGAAATGTCCACTTTAGCTTATTTTTTGCAAGGGAAAGCCGACAACAAAACAACCGGATCCGGACCAACCCGTTTTGCCTGAGACTTCCTCACGAAAATGATGAAAATGTGGCTGCGGCCTAGGCGCGGCGGGGGGGCCGTGCACCAGGGGTCCCAACAATAATTATTCTTTAGAAGTAATAATGTTCAACAACAACAACAACAACAACAACAACAACAACAACAACAACATCCTCAGCATCATCATCATCATCATCATCATCATCATCATCATCACCAGCATCACCATCATCACCACCATCAGCATCAGCACCACGACCAGCACCAGCATCAGCACCATCAGCGTCATCATCATCATCATAATCAGCAGCAACATCATCAACGTCATCATCGTCATCATAATCACGACCAGCATCGTCAACATCATCATCATCACTATCGTCGCCGTCGTCATCGTCATCATCAGCATCATCATCATGAGCGTCATCATCATCACCATCAGCAGCATCATCATCAGCATCATCACGATCAGCATCGTCAGCATCACCATCAGCATCAGCATCACCACCAGCATCAGCAGCAGCAGCAGTATCATCATCGTCGTCTTCGTCAGCGTCGTCGTCCTCATCGTCATAGTCATCGTCATTATCAGCAGCAGCATTGTCATCAACATCCTAATCGTCGTCATCATCAGCATCAGCATCATTTTGATCAGCATCGTCATCATCAGCATCAGCAGCAGCATCATCATTGTCATCGTCATCGTTATCGTCCTCATTGTCCTCATCGTCATCATCATGAACAACATCAGCATCATCATCATTATCATCATGATCATGACCATCATCACCACCAGCATATCATCAGCAATAGCATCATTATCAGCACCAGCATGAGCATCACCACCACCACCACCATCAGCAACAACATCAACATCATCGTCATCGTCATCATCATAAGCAGCATCTGTATCATCATCACCATAGTCAGCAGCAGCACCGGCATCATCAGCAGCAGCATTACCATCATTGACATCACCATCACCATCACCATCATCGCCATTATCATCAGCAGCAGCATTGTCGTCATCATCATCATCAGCAGCATCATCATCATCAGCATGACCAGCATCATCGTCAGCTGTTCCCGCATCGTGATTATCCTCCGACTCCGTTTCCTTCTCATCCTCCCTCTCATGTCTCCCCCCGGCAGTCTCACACCTTCAGCTTCTGGTTGTACGTGGGCAGCAGCAGCTGGGGCGCCTTCTCCGCAGCCGATCTCGTCACCTGGTACAGCGCAACCGCCCCGGACGCAATCGCGGCCGCGAAGGCCAACCCTCGAAGCGGTGAGGAATGAGCCCGCGCGTGCTGCGACGACGGGCGGGCGACGATCAGCTCCTCCTCCATCGTCCACATGCTCACCGCAGTGAGCTCATCGTACTCCTCCCTGCTGCCGGGCCGCTCGCCCGCGACGGCAGCGTGCGCCCGCATCTCGTCCGCTGAGACAGACGGCTCCAGCCCCGTCTTGGCGTACCAATCCTCCGCCCTCATTGGTGCGGTGGTGCCGCTGGCGTGCGGGTACTGGCACTCCTGAGTCGGGGGCTGCTGGACGTGCCGCTGACCCAAGGTGCCCCAAGCTTCTCGCTCCAATTTGGAGCCACTGGGGCCCTCTGGGCCTCGTGAGGGGGTGCTCTGGAGGCTGTGGAGGCCTCCTTGGAAATCCTGGGGGCACCTTGGGCCAGGGGCAGCAACACCCCGACTGGGGGAAGAAAAAACTGCGCAAACATAAACCATCGGCGGCCCGCGCGGGCCCCTGAGATCGCCGCTGGGCCCCCCCTCCCTGGCGCGCGGAGAGCGCCAGGCGCGGCGACGGAGGCGCCGCCAGGGGGAACCCCGGCGCCGATGCAAGACATCCGCGCGAAGCTCCGAAAGGTCATGCTTTCTGCAGTCTTTGTGCTCCGAGCTCCGTTGGGCGGGCGTAGTGCATCCACTGGGCGAACAGCCGCCCGTGGAGGGGAACGCGTCCCCCGTGGTGCTCCGCGACCTCCTGCAGCTTCTGCCGCAGCGTCGGCGACAGAGGCCTGACCCCAGCCGAGGAGGCGTTGGAGAGGAGCGACTCGACGACGGCCGCGAGCTCGGCGGCGGTCGCGTCGGGCGCGCCCACCCTGTCCTCCACGTGGCGCACGATCTCCTCGCCAGCACGAGCGGGGGGGGAGAGACAGAGAGACAGAGAGAGATTGTCCTCAAGTTAGGAGCGCTCGCGCCATCATCAACACCATTATCATCATCATCATCATCATCATCATCATCATCATCATCATCATCATCATCATCATCATCATCATCATCATCATCATCCTCATCCTCATCCTCATCCTCATCCTCCTCCTCATCCTCATCCTCATCATCATCATCATCATCATCATCATCATTATCATCATCATCATCATCATCATCATCATCATCATCATCATCAGCATCATCATCATAATCATGAGCAGCAGCATCATCAGCATCATCATCCTCATCCTCATCCTCATCATCATCATCATCATCGTCATCATCATCAGCATCATCATCAGCATCATCAGTATCGCCATCAGCATCATCATCATCAGTAACAGCATCATCACCATCAGCAGCAGCATCATCAGAAGCAGCATCATCATGAGCATCATCATCAGCAGCATCATCAGTAGCATCAGCATCAGCATCAGCATCAGCATCACCATCAGCGTCATGATCGGCATCATCATCGTCATCATCAGCAGCAGCATCATCACCATCATTATCAGCATCATCGTTATCATCAGCATGATCAATCCTAATCATCGTCATCATCAGCACCAAAATTACTAGAACCATAATCATCATCATCATCATCATCATCATCATCATCATCATCATCGTCATCATCAGCATAACCATCGTCATCGTCATCGTCATCGTTATCGTCGCCGTCGTCATCGTCATCGTCGTCATCATCAGCATCATCAGCACCACCATCATCAACATCATCATTATTATTAGCAACAGTCATGTTAACACTGTTCGTTCGTACCTGCTCGCGTGTCAGTCAGTATGTAGGTCTCAAACCTTCGATACACACCCTCTTCGTCTTCGATCATACCCCCTTGGGGGGGATTTTTCACTACCTGCCACGTGTAATTGGCGCAGCCGCTAAAACAGGGGAAAGCAGGAGGGAAGGGACAAGGGGAAGCGAGAAGGACGGAGCACGATAGAGATTAGCAGGAGGGGGGCTGGGAGCGGAAGAACAAGCGGTAGTTCAAGACTAGCGGGAGCGGATCGGGCGGGTGAGCCCAGACGGCGGGGTCGAGCGGGCAGGTCGCTGAAGCGTCAGCCCTGCATGAATCTCGAGGAGGTCTCGAGCGACAGCGCGATTCCGAAGTAAGTCGCAGCGAATTCCAAAGTGAGATAAACATTCCTGAATGGGGTGCGGCGTCTCAATAAATTGCGAGGAAGTGCCACGCGCGAGCGCGATACCTAGATAAATTGTGAGTGAACCCCGCGCGAGAGAGCGATTTCTCACTACATCGTGAGGAAGTATCAAGCGGGAGCCGTTGTTTCTGTAAACCGGGGGCCACGGGCACAGTTGGAGCCCCACGACATTCCCAGATAAAAGACAAAGTGCGAGCCCTGGGGGGGGCACTTCAATTGAAAAAAAACAGCATGTGGCACCGGGGAGGGGGGGTCAACAAGAATCAGATTGCAGAAATAAGAGCTCAACATCATCAGCATCACCTCCCTCACCCTCATCCTCATCACGGCTCTCCTACCCTCGAGCAGTCGTCACCCAGAATGCTGGGCTGGCACGGTGGCGGGACTTGCTGCAGGCAGCTGGATAGTTCTCAAGCTAGGTGCGCTCGCGTCGCATCTGACGCCCGATCACTCCCTCACGTCCCGTCTTGTGCAAGTTCTTCCTCTACCCGTGGACGCGTGCCCTAGAACTCCAAAAAACGACCCCATCGTGTCATGCGCAAGCAGGAAGGGGGAGTTGCGTACATAGGGGGAAGCACGAGGAGGGGGAGGAGGAGGAGGAGGAGGAGGAGGAGGAGGAGGAGGAGGAGGACGAGGAGGAGGAGGAGGAGGAGGAGCAGGAGCAGGAGCAGGAGAAGGAGGAGGAGGAGAAGGAGGAGGAGGGAGAAGGAGGAGGAGGAGGTGGCGGATGAGCAAGAGGATGAGCAGATCTAGAGGGGCCATGGGGCTTCCTGGAGAGCGGTAGGGGAGCCCTTGTCGGGCACAAGCTAGCATGGATCAGGGATACGAGGATCTGGCGCGTGACCGCCAGATCCACGGATCGGGAACCGCCCCCCCCCAAAAAAAAATGTGACCAGTGCCGCCTGAGTTGGCGAGGGAGAGCGTCGATGTCGTGTGAAAACGGCACCCCATCGCTAGTCCACGCGTCTGAACCCATGTCTGCACTTCCCCGAGCTTGTGGGTCCCAGCAGTGGAAGGGGGCCCACGTACTATCTCCCCCGCAGCCTCGCACTCGTCCATGCAGCACACCGAGTAATACTTCGAGGACGCCACGCAGTTGGAGGGGCTCTGGATGTAGTTGGGGATGATCACGCGCAGGTTGCCTGGGTCGCTCTCATCCAGCGCCCCAAGCTCGCGCAGGTACTGGACGCTCTCGCTGAATTGCCAGTTGTCCCCGTGCACGGCGCCGCCGTAGAAATCCGCCAGCCTCACGCGGCCGCTGCCACGGTCCTCCATCTCCACCAACTGAGCCTTCAGTGCCTGGCACTCGTGATCCTGCCACCGCCCGTACCGCTCGCCGATCTCTTCGATGACGGTGGCGACGCTCTCGAAGGCCAGCTCGTCGCGCTTCGGGGCGGTCGCCTCGTACACCTCGCGCAGGAACTGCTGCGTAGCCGGCCAGCTGGGGTAGACCTCCTGGATCGCGTCGCGCTGCGACACCAGTTGCTCCGGGGTCGCGGAGCTGAAGTTCATCCCCAATACGTACATGGTCATGTACGACTGAATAACCTCCAGCGCCTCTGAGGAAACCGAGAGGCACCGATGTCGCTGCTCCTCAGACCTCTCCCGAAGCACCTTCTAACTAGAACTTCAAAATAAATCTGGCCGTGACGACGAGAGCTTTCCAGGAGGCCCAACAGAAGGGCGAAAACGAGACAAGGGTAGTGGTATCGGTAACGCGGGCTCGTGTCGTGTCGACCCCAGCGCTGGTTTCTGGCACCGCGGGGATCGTTCCACCGTGAACCATCGGCCGCTCCGACACGTCAGATCGTTCAACCTCGACAGGTTCTGGTTCGCCGGCGGCGCTCAAACGTTGCACGCCGGCGGCGGCGTCGCCGCCAAAAGGACACGACGCGCGCCTGCTATAGCTTTGCCTCCCCTGCGCCTCCTCCCGGCCCAGCGGGTCCCTGGTGGAGCGGCGCAGCGCCCGGTACGTGTGCTCCAGCCGCCCGAGCGCCTCCGCGTGGACGAGGTTCTCGAACGTGGCCGCCATCACCGCCAGCTCGTGCAGGTCGAAGCCGCGGTGCCCGACGCGCTTCTCGAAGAGGCTCAGCACGTACGCAGGCAGCTGGTCCTTCGGGTCGGAACGGAAGTGTAGGCTTGGCGAATCAGCTCAAGCAGCTGGCTTTCCCAACTGTTTGATTAACATTGTGTGGTTGCGAGAAGATGCTTTGTTTAGAGAGAAACAAAGAAAAAAACATGGCTAAAAAAACAGGTTTCCTGGGCGCCTCCCGCATCCAGGAAAGGCGCCTGGCGGCGAGGCCGAAAGCAGCTGCGCGCTGCATATGTTGTATCCCCCCCCTTCTTGCCCCGTCCCTCCATTTCGCCCGGCCCGAGTCCTGCATGATCAGCGTGGACGACGGGGATGCCGAGGCGTTCCGCGACTCACCCGCCGGGTCGAGGCCCTGTACGAACCAGGCGTGGCGCTGGACGAACAGCCGGTGCATCGCGTACCGTACGGCGGAATCTTGAAGGCGGCCCTGCGCGTTCTTCGGGAGCGCGGCGTAGGTCGTCCGCAGGACGGCCTCGATGCGGCCGAGGCGGCCCTCTGTCGCCTTCCGGTGGCTGCTCCCCAAAACCTCCTCGATCTCCGCCAGCATCGCCTTCTCCATGTCGAGGTCGACACCCTGCGAGCCGGCCAAGTCGGGAGTGCGCCCTCGGAAGGCGTTTGCATCAGCTGGGTTGGCCAGGGTGGCAAATGCAGCCAAGATATGGATGCAGAACACACGTTCTGGAGTGCAGGGCATGTTGGGCAAACTTCGGAAGGGCTGAATGCGTCCAAAACGGGATGAGCAATTCGAGTTACGACACTGGCTACGGATCCCGTCATTCGCTGTGCGCCTCCCGCGTCCCGCCCGCCCAGCACACGCCCTGCACCAACGCTCTCAACATAGCCCGTGACGGCCCAACATGACCGGCTGCACATAAACCATGCGAGATCGAACACGGAGAATTGCACGCAAACAGTACAATCTGTAAGGCTGGACGTAAACGGTTCACAATCGATGTTTGTGCTGTACCGTTTACGTGCAACTTCTCGTGTTGCACACTTACACAGTTTACGTACAATCGACCGTTGCTGATCAAATGGCCCTCGAAAATGCCAACATAGCTCAAAACGGCCCGAGATGACCAGCTGCACGCAAACGGTGCGAGATCGAACACGGCAAAGTGCACGTAAACGGTACTAAAATCCGCCGGCCCCGTTGGGGTTCATCGGCGTGTGAGATGTTTCCCCCTCCCCTAACACCTCCCCCAGGAGCCCTGTCTGGTCGATTTGGAAGGGGGGGCTCCCCCGGGGACTGGCCGAACGCATCACGGGGAAGCAGAGGGCCCAAAAACAAGCCAAGAGGGCACCAAGAGGCCCTTTAGACGGTCCCAGTGGGCCACGAGCTGCCGAAAGGTCGATCGAAAACGCCCACGCTGGCCTCCAGACGGCCCAGGGCCCCCCCCAAGATGCCCCACCATCAAGAGTCGCCCCCAGACGACCTCGACGAGCAAAGATCGCCCCGTCTCCATGGGAAGCCTGGATGTTCAGCACGGTCGCCGCTCCTGCGAGCACAACACTCATAACAGCCTAAGAAACCCCCTGGGTCGCTCCAAGACGGCCCAAGAGGCCCCCCAGAGGGCTCTCAGACGACCCAAACGAGGGGACAAAGGGCCCCAAAAACAGGCCACGAGGCCACCAAGAGGCCCTTTAGACGGTCCAAGAGGGCCACGAGCCACCAAAAGATCGATCGCAAGCGCCCACGCTGGTCCCTGGACGCTCAAGAGACCCCCCAAGACGCCCCACGACGCCCTCAAATGGCGCCCAAAAACGGCCTCGACGAACACAAATCCCTTCAAGTTCATGGGAAAGCCCTTCTTTTGGGCGGCTCAGTCTCGCCTCTCCTGCAATCACACCGTCCACGACCACCGAAGAAGCCTCCCGGGCCCCCCCACAACTTGAGGGATGAAAAAACGACCCTACCCTGGATTACAAGTGCGCGGTCTGTAAACCTTCTGGGAACCTCCAAAGCCTAGAGCCGCCAGGACGCGGCACATCACGCAGGGTTTACCCTGTCAGCCCCCAGGAGTTTCAGCGCACAGCGCCTCGTAAACCAGGGTAGGGGCGTTTTTTCTGCCTTTGAACAACGGCCCAAGAGGCCCCCCAGAGGCCTCTCTGACGACCCCCAAGACCGCTTCACAAGCCCCCACCACGGCCCACGACGGCCCCGCGCCAACCCCAAGAGGGGGTCCAGAGAGGGGGAACCCACGCGGTGTTGCCCCGGGAAGCCCGCAAATTGCCCCAGGGAGCTCCGGGACACCCACAGGAAACTCCTCGGAGGCCCCCAGGACGCCCCCAAAAGTTGAATCACTGCTTCCACAACGCATCCGAAACGCCTCCCACGAGACCTGGTCCGCCACCCGCGTGGCCTCCGACCCGCAGCCCCAGCACGGTGGCCGGATGAGCCGACACTGTGGAATTTCAGCATATGCCCGCCGTTCATGCACGTGGGTTCTCGCCCGTTTCCCTGTGCGCGCACGGCGAACACTGAAAAGATCAGCCGCACCACCAAGTACTGCCGATGCGGGCTGTGCCGCGATTGCCGCAAGCCCCATGGGCATCTTGAGCAAGCACGCGGCACATTGTCCAAGAGGGCCCCGGCACGCCCCACAGCTCGCTCCGAGACCAGACGGAGCGCCCGCCCCCACGACGCAGGCGGCGCACCCAGTCCCATCGACCCGTCGCCGTCGCCGCCACTGCCGCCGTCGCCGCTGGTCCGATGTCGGAGATGAAGGACACCTTTCCTGAATGTCGTAGACTGCGCCTGTCCTCTCCCCCTTTCCCCCTCCCCTCGAATCCCAAATGCCGTTTGGAGGGCGGGAGGGGGGCGGGGGGAGCCCAGAGAGGTTGAAGCTCCGAACCGCACCCTCAGAGCCTCCGAGGCCTCTCCAGCGGCCAGAGACGGCCCACACATATCGCCAATTCAGTCGAAGACGGCGCCGAAATTGTCCGAAGCAGCCCAACGACGATCCAAGATAGCATCGACACGGCACTCGACCCGCCCGAAACGGCCCAAGAATCAACCAGTGGTGCCTCGGAGGCATGACTTTTTGCTATCCCACGCGCGCTTCAAAGAGAGGTACCCTTCCTAGTCGAATCGGCATCGCCTGAAGGCTGGTCCACGGGCACTCTAGTCTAGTCCCATCAGATCATTCCCACGTCATGTCCCCGTCAACAACCTCCCCGACAAGCTTCTCCTGAACATCTTCCCGACCAAGTTTTCGAGGCGAGCTCCTGCGACGAAGGCACTCTCGCGGCCTAGACGAAACCAACAACTCCGCCCGCAAACAACATCCCACCAGACATCTGGGCGTCGGTGGGTGAGGGGAGCCTGTCTTCCAAACCCCTTCTACCCCCTCGGAAATGGATTTACCCCTGCTCCGTATTCACAGAAACCCGCCCACTCAGCCGACGGCCGACCCGAGTCAAAGCAACCCCCCAAAACATCCTGGTCATCGCGCTAATTACAAGACGAAGCGCATGTTGCGACATGACCTGGATCATCTTCTGGCGTCCCGCCCTCACTGTGCATTGGTCAGTTGCACGACGGCAAGGGGCATCAGATTACCCCGTGTGTGCAGGCCCACCATCCCTCTCAGAAGTAAGCACTGCTCTGTGCAGGTGACGGCAAAATCCCCGCACCCCTTGGGTGTCCTTAGCGTGTGAGATGCTTACCCCTCCCCCTCCCCCTCCCCCCATACCCCAGTCCGATCGATTTGCAGGGAGGGGGCTCCGCCCAGATCCCACGGGCCTGGCCCCAACGCATCATGGGAGGAAAGAGGCCCCCACAACGAGCCCGAAGGCCCCAAGATGCCCCCAAGACAATCCAAGAGGGCCCCCAGTCGCCGAAAGCTCCTCCAGGACGGCCGAGTAACATCAAGACGGTCCAAGACGCCCCCAAAACGCCCCAAGAGACCTCCAAGAGCGGCCCCACGAGGCAACATTCATTGATTTGTAATCCGTTTTTGAAAGATTTCAGCGTTCTCGCCTTGTCGGTTTCCCGAAACTCCACGACGGCCCAAGAGGCTCCCAAGATTTCCACCATAGACAACCCCAGAGGTCTCCACGAAGGCCCCTACACAAACAAAGAGGGACCCACACAGCCCCTAAGACGTCGTCCAAAAGCTCCAAGAGGTCGCCCATAGGCCTGCCACGAATCGCCCAAAAGGTTCCAGAGCCCCCGACAGGCGAACAAGAGACCCTCAGGAGCAATCCACCACAACCGCCAGTTCCCCAAAGGGTCGGCGGTGTGGCGTAAGTCCAAGAATCTTGAGGCTGCACGTAAACGGTACGATATCGATGATTGTGCTGTACCGTTTACGTGCAACCTCTCGTTTTGCCCAATTGGACAGCTTAAATGCAATCGACCGTTGCTGCGCAAACTCGCACCGTACACACACACACACACACACACACACACACACACACACAAACACCTTGCCCTCTTCCCCCCGAAACACGCCCCGAACGCACGCCGTGCAGCCCCCGCCCGTTCCCCCCAGAACACGCCCCGCACGCACGCCTTACACCCCCCCGTCCCGCCCGCCGAGCACACGCCCTGCATATACGCGCGCACGCACGCACGCGGCCGCACACACAGTCGCACGCACATGCACACAGGCACACACAGGCACACGGACGCACGCACACGCGCACACACAAACACACGTACACATACACGCACATACGCAAATACACACACACACAAACAAACAAACAAACAAACAAACAAACAAACAAACAAACAAGCACACATACACAGGCCACGCACGACAGCTGACCCAAGCAACCACAGGCAACCACTAAGCCCAAGCTTGAAGCGGCAACCATCTGGGCATCTAGAAAATCCCAGCGACAGCACTCCACGTGCGCACATGACTGCTGGGTGCAAGTCCGTGCGCACGTGCGCACGCAAGCTCACAGAAGCGACGCTTCACGTTCTTGTCCGGACAGGTTCCCCTCCCCCAGGGAGGGGGCGCAGCAATTTGCGTTTGGCTTCCCTCGTGCTGTCCTGGCCGCAAGGCACGAATCAAAACGAGTGTGCCTTGAGCCCAAAAAAAAACTCCTCATTATCCACCTCATTCTCCCCGGTATCTAAGACATGCCCGCCTTCATCATGGTCCTCTTGGCTGGAGCGCCAAGTGACGCGCGGCATGATGTTGGCGGTGCGCCGGAGCCAGACGCATTGGTGCCGATGGAGAGTAGACAGTATAGAGTGAATAATAAAAAAAAGAAAATAGAGATCAGAGACCAGAGATCTGAGAGCAGACAGTCAAGAGGGGGAGAACAAGGGGCAGAGAGTCGAAGGGCATTGTAAAAAAAATAGAAGGAGTAGAGCCACTGCTTGGGGTCCACGCGCCAGTAACATAGATTGGGGCGCTCCAGCGGTGGCCAGATCCCAACGAGCGTTGGAAGCCGTACGTTCTCATACAGCATGCGCGTACGATGGTCAGACCTGATACAAGAAACTTGGAACCTCATCTGCCGTCGGCCCTTACACTTCGCGAGAAGCCCCACAACTCCAGTGGGTTTCTGGGACCGTCGGGAAATCATAAATGTATGTGGCGCAGCTGCTGACTGGGCGGCTCCTTACCTGATGTGATCCCCGTAAAGCGCATGATGGGAGCCAGTTTTCTCACTCTGTCTCACCATCCCAAAAAGGTGCATCACGAATGCGGCGTTGATTCCAAAACTGATGCACACTTACAATGCGCACTGGGCGCGCGTTTGCAGGTTTGCACTGAGGGCACACTGGCAATGCACCCACGACGGGGTGCAAGATCTTAGCGCATCGACGATTAGGTCGTCCACATTTGTTCAACGCTCGTACAATCCAACGGCGCTGCTGTGGATTCCCTGCTTCTCCCCTGACCGCGCGGCGAACGCTTTACACTGTCCATTGGCATCTCCTGCAGCCCATCTTGTGAAACCTCAACTGCAGAGGGCATATGCGGATACTGGCCGCTGAGCCAGCTGATTGAGTGGCCCTGTCTGTCCTCCAGGTCCTCGCCTGAGACGCGGGATTTCAGCATCTGGAAGATCTTATCGTGGGCGTCTTCGGGGCAACGCGTCAACTGCAGCGAGAAATTCGTGTCGACATGCACTGTGCAAGCTCAGATTGGCGCACAACTGGATCCGCTCTACGAATGCGGGGTGGTCAGAGGCAACGAGTTTCAGGGCCTCTTGATTCAGAGCTGGCCGCTCCCGCTGTACAACATACTCCTCGCGCAGCATGATTATGTTGTACAGGAATGGTAGCGCGAATGACGCGAATGCACTCCCAACCTCCCACTCTGGCCAGTCGGGCCACAGTACACCCAGGTCGACGCGACCTGCGCTTGGTTCCACCAAGGGATGAAATTCTTGTTGACTTCCACGCTCTGTCCGCCACGTTTAGCGAGGCACCCTACGGCGGGGGGAGGGCGCCAGCAGGCGGAAAAAATCCGCCCCGGCACGCACCAGGGCCAAAGGGGGCGGCCTGGTGAGCCAAAGGGCCACGGACGGGAGGGCAACTCCTCCCCAAGCCCTGGCCCAAAAAACAGCACAAAAAAGAGGACGCCCCTCCGATGTGAAAAACAAGTCTGGCGCCCGATTTGGACAACTGTCTGGCAATACGAGATTGACCTTGAATATCCCGCCGCGGTAGAAGCCCTGTCTGGCGAAAGTGGTCCCATGCCAGGAGAAGACATAATCAAACGAAGGCAGCACATACATCCAAGGGGGCTGGATCTCCTCGGGGAGGCGCAAGCCGTACACAGACGCCAAGCCTGGCCAGACCCATCCAAAGTTCTGGCCGCAGGTTTGTGATGTGCGCCCTACCGCTCCTGGGCCCAGGATGGGCCTGGCCTCGTCTGTTCTCGGCGTCCAGCTGGCATCTTCCGATCCTCGAGCCGCTCGTACTCCAGCAGTGCCGCGAAGGGGGGCGATGGCTCCCTGATGTGCCTGTCCCTCTCGGCGCGACGCTCCTCCAGGAGGCACGAGTCCCGGCTGCTGCCTGACGCACGCCTGCCCCCGGCCCGAGCGGCGGCGACCGCGGAGAAAGCAAAGGGCCCCAGGTTCTGCAGGCACCGAAAGAGAGTCCACGGCAGAGGGCCCGACGCCTGCCACGGCGGCGGAGCGTGGAGCCCCCCTTTGGGGCCCACCCGAACCGGCGGACGGCGGCGCCAACGAATGTGTGGCTCCTCCTCCTCCTCCTCCTCCTCCTCCTCCTCCTCCTCCTCCTCCTCCTCCTCCTCCTCACGCTTGAGCCTAAACGACTGGGGATCCGCGTCGCCGATGGCGACCCACGATCGCACACTCAGCCCTCATAGCAAAGAGCTCTTCACCGACCACGGGCCGAGCGCAGATGCCGCGCCGAGTGCCGACCTGGCACGCGAGGTGGCCGAAGCAAGCGGGCGATCACAAGTCGCGCGACAGGCGATCAGAATCTCTGTGGCTGTATTAGATGGCAGTAGGTGAAGGATACGGCAGGTGGCCAATCCATGGCTAGCCGTGGCACAATCGCGGACTACCAAGGCCATCTCAGTAAACCAGCCCCTTGGGATCCACCTGCGAGATCTCTGCCTTTCCTTTTACCCCTCCAGGGGGACCTCGACTCTCGAATCTGAAGGGGAGGAGCCCAAGCGGTACCAGAAAGAGGCTGCGGAGGGTCTGGGAACCAAGACAGGCCCATGACGACTCAAGAGAGCTGGAATACAGCCGAAGAGATGACTGATAAAATTATGATACCAGAAACCTGGGCCAGCTTCCTGGAAGAGTCCTGAAATAAGCCTGGGCCAGCTCTTTGATGAATGCTGCAGGGGCGAACGTGCCCAAGAATCTGGGCCAGTTTTCGGGCAAATTGTTTAAGAAGCGCTGGCCCGACACGTTGGGAGGATGTTTCTTCCGCGAAGACCGCAGAATCGATCGAGGATCGGTCGACCGAGTAGGAGGAGGAGGAGGAGGAGGAGGAGGAGGAGGAGGAGGAGGAGGAGGAGGAGGAGAATCACGGATGGACCGATCGAGGATCCTCGAACGATCGAGGAGAATCGATCGATCGATCGAGGAGGAGCGTGCTCGACTGTATGCCGCGAAGACCGCCTGCGAGGGCCCCAGAAGGCCGCCACCCATGGAGGCCAGCGTCTCCGCGACGGGTGGCCCAAGGCATGCCTGGATCCTGTCTGCGCTTGCGCCCACCAGGGCGTTCGCAGGCTCCCCTCTAGGAAGAGAAGGAGAGCAATCAGAAGAACGATGGAAAATCTACATGAATCATACTAATGCAGCGCACAGTATATATATATATATACATACTAGAATACAAACATATGTATCTATCTATAACCAAAACCAGCACAAACTCACATTCTCGGACGCCCGCGAAGATTCCTCAGATCAGCGTCAACGTCGCCTTCTCGGTGCGCGGATCGCGCCAAGGTCGGCGCCAGAGGCGCCGCTGGGGGGGCCCAGCGCAGATGCAAGGAGTCCGCGCGGACCTCCAGAAGTCTGCGTTCACACGGTCTTTCCTTCGTCGACCTTCATCAGAAGTTGAAGCTGTTTGCGAGGAGAGTGAGGCAAGAGCGGGAGTGCGAGGCGGGAATTTATCCATATCCACCGCCTGGGAACCGACGCCCTGGTGCCCCAGCGGGCGGTGGATATTCCCCAATCAGGGCTTGCCTCTGTAGGGGTCCTAGCGGATTAAAGGTTTAGGTGAGGTGGGTCGCCGATTTCGGTGGCCGAGCCCGGGTGCCCGGGTGCCCGGGTGCCCGGCGGTGCCCGGGTGCCCGGGTGGCCGGTGAGGTTGGTCGCCGATTTCGGTGGCCGGGCCCGGGTGCCCGGGGTGCCCAATAGCCCAATAGCATATAGCCCAATAGCCCTATAGCCCTATAGCCCTATAGTTCTATAACCCCATAGCCCTATAGCCCTATAGCCCTACAGCCCTATAGCCCTATAGCCCAATAGCCCTATAGCCCTATAGCCCCATAGCCTTATAGCCCTATAGCCCTATAGCTCTACAGCCTTATAGCCCTATAGCCTTATAGCCCAATAGCCCAATAGCCCAATAGCCCAATAGCCCAATAGCCCTATAGCCCTATAGCCCTATAGCCTCATAACTTTATAGCTTTATAGCCCTACAGCCCCATATCCCCAACAAAAATCTGATTGGGGTTTTTCTCTGGTGTCATGGGAATATTTTGGCCCCCAGGAGCCCGAGAATGTCCATATCCACCGCCTGCCGAGGCTCCGAAAACGGACCCTCCAGGCGGTGTAGGAGGAAAGGAGGGAGGAAGAGGAAAGGAGGAGGAGGGAGGAAGAGGAGGCGGAGGAGGAAAGGAGGAGGGAGGAGGAAAGGAGGAAGGAGGAAAGGAGGAAGGAGGAGGAGGAAAGGAGGGAAAGGAGGGAGGAGGAAAGGAGGGAGGAGGGAGGAGGAGGGAGGAGGAGGGTGGAGGAAGGGAGGTGCCAGATGCGGAGGGCCAGGGGGAGAGCAGGCGGAAGCAGGGGCAAGGCCGGAGGCGGAGGAGGCGGAGCCTGGCTCGGCGCAAGAGAAGACGAGCGCCCGAGCCGCAGCCGACTCTGGGGTGAACACGACCCCGAGCAGCAAGGGTTAAGTCGGGAGTGTCCCCCTACAGGGGGATTTTCGACGAGAGATAGAAAATACCCTCCAAATATTCCAAAATGATGATGAAAAACAAAACAAAAAAACAAAAACAAACAACAACAACAAAAACAAAAAAAAACATATTTTTGACTATTTTTGAACATTCCTCCTGTAGAAGGACAAGCCCGACTTAAAGCAAGGGCGGGAGGGGGGAGGCGGACCCTGAGATCCAGGGGTCGCAATGTTTTCACACCGTCCGTTCTCGCCCTGTCCTGGGCCCCAGGACAATCACATATGTCGATCCGGCTCGAAGGGTGCCGCGGCAAGATGGGGCCCGGAGCTCCGGCCGCGGTACTCTGCGATGGCGCTGTGGAATCGCAACGCAGGATCTCCGGGGAGACTCTCGGGGGTGGACAGGACAGAACCCCCAACAGCGACACGTCGATTAGTGAATCGTCCGTTTTCGGTTCTCGAGAGGGCGCCGTGGCCGTTATTCTCCAGGCTTGCGCCCGCCAGGCTTGGGCCTCGGGTCGTTTTCACTAAACCACGTTTTGACCAAACGGGGGTCCGTCCATCCCCGAGGCTCGGAGCAGGGCGAGTTGAGACGGCGGCAGCGCAGCATCGGCCCCGGACCCTCCCCAGGGTCCAAGCGCACAAGCTGTCCGGGCTGCGTCTTGCCGTCGCTCGGACGTCCATTCCCCGTGCATTTCTCGGTGTCGTGCGTGCTTTTGTTGCTCGATGGTCCAGGATTGTCCTGGATGGTCCTCGCCGAGAAAAATGCACACGTCCGAGCGATGCCAAGGCGTCCGGCCGTGGCGACGAGGGGCCCTCCAGAGGCCCGGCCGCGGTGGCCTCGGCCCGCCCTCCTCGGAGGGGGCTGGGGCGGAGAGGCCGGGGGCCCCGCGCAGCGCAGCAGAGCACGAGTTAGGGGAACAAAGAGTGACATTAACATAAAAACTCGGAGGTCCGCGCGGATTTCTCGGATCGGCACTGGACCCCCCTCCCTGGCGCGCGGAGCGCGCCAGGGGCGGCGCCGGAGGCGCCGCCAGGGGACCCCAGCGCGGATCCGAGAAATCCGCGCGGAACTCAGAGTTTTTATGTTTATGTCACTTTTTGTTCCCCTACGAGTGCTCGAGCAGTGGCCAGCTGCGCCAGGGGCGAGGTTCGGTGGCAAAACCTGGCAGCCTCCCACACCAGCCTGCTGGCTCTGAGGATCCAGCGCCAACCGACGCTGACCGACGCTTCAGTCGGCGCTGCCTCATCGATGGCCAGAAGCGCTGGCGCACGCGGGCGCACTCTGGAGACGGCACTGCGACGACACACAAGAGGCTCCCATGCCTTGCTGCCGAATAAACAAGCGCGTTCCACGATTCGCAGAGTAGCTACTGACAACTGGCATGGATGCGCCGCGAGGGGGTTACGATATATTATTACATCAGACAGACATGTGTCTTTCCCACGTCTGCGAGCAGGCCCTCTGCGACCAGCGGAACGCGCTCGGTGCTCGAAGGCGAGGCAGGCAGCGGGGCGGGGCCCCCGCGGTGTTCACTGCGCGAGCGCGGCGGTGCTCCCCTGGGCGTGCGCTTATCGCGGGGGGCGCCCGGCGACGGCAGTGCCGGCGCCCCCGGGGGCGGCAGGAGGAGCCCTCAGTTGGCCTGCGGGATGCTGTCCTGCATGCAGCCCTTCGCAGCACTGGGCACCTGGGTGCTCCGCCGGGGCGCGGGCGGGCGCGGGCGGCGCGGTGCGGGGGGCCGCCCCGCGGGGGACGCCGGGGGAGGAGCGGCAGCGGCAGCAGGAGAGGCAGGAGGGGGGGGGGGTAGCAGCAGGGAGGGAGGGAGGGAGGAGGGAGGGAGGAAAGGAAGGAGGGAGGGAGGGAGGGAGGGGAGCAGGAAGGAGGAATAAGGGAGGGAGGGACAGAGGAGGGACGACAGAGGGGGGGAGGAGGGTGGACGGAGGAGGAGGAGGAGGAGGAGGAGGAGGGAGGAGGAGGGAGGAGGAGGAGGGCGGAGAGGTGAGTGAGGGTGGAGGATGGAGGGGGAATGAGGAATAAGAGCAGAGGCTGCATAGGAGAAGGAGGACACAGAGCAGGAAGGGGAGGTGCCAAGACGGAGGCTGGATTTCGCCCCTCGATCTGGACTGCTGGGGCCAAGGGATTCCCACGGCTGGCTTTGGCACGCTGGGAGGACTCGCACGATTGAAATCCAAACCAGCTCTGGGCTGAGAAACAGCTCGGTGTGGTGGAGGACGGCAAGACACATGCACGATGTCTGTCCCTCAACCCTAGCTACCAAGAAACGCACAGCCAGAAGGAAGCGGATGACACCAACGCTCGAGAAAACGAGAGGTCAGCGCGGGCTCATCCTACGAGGTGCTAGATCAACCCTACGAGGGGCTAGATAAACCCAAGAGCCCCAAGGCAGCCCCCACAGGGCCCGTCCCCAGTGTCCCCCAAGCGGCTTCCCCAGCGGCTGCGGGCACACGCGCTCCACCAGCGTGGCCGCACGGCCACCCCACATTTCACCACGCGGGCGCGTCCAGAAGGCACGGGGGCGGTGGTGACTCGCCGTGGGCGTCTTCGAACAAGTCCTCCTCCCGCACCGCACGACGTGTTGGTGTGGCGGGCGTTTCGACTGAGATTTGCTCACCACTTCTTCTTCTTCTTCTTCTTCTTCTTCTTCTTCTTCCTCCAGCCCCGCCGTCGTGAAGCAAGGGTGTCCCGGTCCCGAAGCCTTGCCGTCGTGAGACAAGGGTGTCCCGAAGCAGCGCCGTCGCGAAGCAAGGGCGTCCCAAAGCCTCCCCGTCGTGAAGCAAGGGTGTCCTCCAGCATCACCGTCGCGAAGCAAGCGTGTCCCAAAGCCTCGCCGTCGCGGAGCAAGGGTGTCCCGAGGCCTCGCCGTCGTGAAGCAAGGGTGTCTTCCAGCCTCGCCGTTGCTTCAACAGCCATCGTCGAAACACGGACGCAGGTCACTTCGAAAGCGTTCAAAGCGTGACGCGGTGAGACCACGGCAAACGGGCATCGGCAACGCGGTTGCATTTGAAACCAGCTTTGTCCCTCACCAGGCGCGCGAAACCTGGAGGAGGAGGAGGAGGAGGAGGTAAGACATGGGAAGATATTAGGCTGCGCGTCAGACTCATCCAGTCTGGCCCACTTCTGTTCCTGAAGCTCGATGTCTCTAACGGTTACAAAGATAGGAGGCGGGTCGCTTTCACAATATAGCTCTCGCCTTAGAGCCGCCCAAAGAGCGGACATATGTTGCCATGATGGAAAAAGAGCGGTTCTGAATATATGTTCTCGCGTCAGCGCTCAGCACATTCGTCTCAAGTTTCCCAGCTGTTACCAGGATGGATGGCGGATCGTGTTCAAAATGTGGCTGTAATATCAGCGCCGCGCAAGTTTGTCTTGAAATGGTCTCATATTGTAAAACCTTTTAAAAAATGTAAGTTCCAAAGTGTGGCTCTCACGTCATGGCCGCGCACACTCGTCTTAAAACCTTGAACCTACCAAACTGATAGAAAGCGGGCCGTTTCAAAAATTACTCTCGTTTGAGCGCCGCGCACATTCGTGCTCAAAATACTCCAACAGCTACAAGGATGGAGGGCAATTCCTGTAGTGCATGTTGCTCGGCACGCCACTTCTTCAAAAGGAATGACCAAACGCAGCATACCCCGCAGCGAGTACACGGAAACGAAGCGGCTCCGTCTACAGATCGTACACCCGTCTGCCACTAATTTTGCATGACCGCATACACAGCCTCAGCAACAGGCACACGGATGGACGGTGGTCCCTTTTCAAGATGGGCTGTCGCTGGGCGTTCCATGGAAGTCACGACGATGCCCCGTCGCACTTCCTTTCTACTTGACAGGTGGAGCGCGGTTCCTTTTGCCGAACGGGGCTCTCTTGAATGGCACATCCTTCCGTCTTTCAGAGGGGGCTTCCCGCAAGGGTAATCATTACCCGTAGGCACAGATGCCCAAAGGACTTGGGACGGGAGTTTGCATTGCAGCATCGCTGGCGTAGCCTGGCTGTACTCTAGTCTTCCTCATCCTGCTCATCCTCCTCCTCCTTTTCCTACTCCTCCCTGGCCCTGAGCGCCTGAATCTTGCCCATGAGATTTACGTTCGAGATGGTGTAGGTTTGCGTCTCGATGCAGCTGATGCCCTCCACGTCCCCGAGCGCACTCAAGAACTTCCCCTCTGGGGCGAAGCCTTTCTTCTCCCACGCCTCGAACTTGTCGACGGGAAGTTTGATGATAACCTGAATGATTATTCATTTTGCCTTCGCGCCCGTGGCCTGCCATAGCAAGATCGTGAGAAGTCCAAGCGCGTAGAACTGCCTCCTCGATGGGCACAGCTCATGTCCAGTACACCGTGCTAGCGAGCCTAAGCGCCTGACGAAGACGTGTGACATTTCTCTCATTTGTCTAGCATGGCAAGTCCTATTCTAGCGACCTGGTCTCGTGGTCAGCGTCTCCTGCGTCTCAACCTATGGTTAGCTGAAGCTGCACGACTGCCCTATGGTGGAAAGACAACAGTCGGCCATAGTGCCAAGCGCAGCTGCTGCCCGTGACCTACGGCCTATCATGCTGTGTCGTATCAAGTGTGGGCGCTAGGGCACGGCCTCGCGTGCAGGTGGCCCACCCACTGCCGAACACGTCCGACAATTCGGCCCCAGACGATGCGTGACTTCAGGGAATCGAACTTGCTTTGCTGAGGAACTGGCTGGGGGTGCCGGGGACTCGGCTTTGTGGGCGTGCCCGTGCCAGCCCCGTGCGCGTCCGTGCGCTGGCTGGCCGGGTGTGCCAGGGTGTCGGCCCATGGGCGCCCGTGACCGTCTCGTGCTAGCCTCGTGCGCTGGCTCGCGTTGCGTGCGGCAGGTTCGCGTCGTGACGACGTCGGCGTTGGTTTCTGACTCCGCGTGCATCGTACGGCCTTTTCTTTTTCCGCTCCAATGCGTCACTAGCCCCGGGGCCTCAACCGCCACCCCCACAGCTCCGGAACTGGGTACTGCGAGGGCTTTGGTTTTGGCCGCACAGTGTCCGTGGGCCACGATCAGATGATGAAGCCGCGCGTGCATCGTACGGCCTTGAACGATCGCGGCCTGCCGATGGCGCAGACAGATCGTTCGACGTCGGCCTGTTCTGGGCCCTGGCGCTGGTCAGCCTTTTGAACGCCCTTGCTCGAGGCGCCGCCGCGACAGCGCGGCGCGAAGCTGCCGCAGGCGCCTGTCCCTGAAGAGAAGGAAACTCCGCCCTCAGCCCGAGGCCAGGGAGGAGGAGGAGGAGGAGGAGGAGGAGGAGGAGGAGGAGGAGGAGGAGGATGGGGGCTTTCGGACCCCCTTCCCCCTCCGCACACTGCGTTGGCATACGGGTCCTGCGCCATCGCTCATCCGACTTACCTCATGGTACTATCAATGCTGGGCCAGCGTCGCCCCCCCACCCCGGCCACCTCCTGCAAAAACTCACTGCGCTGCACGCGTGTCGGTCTAGGAAGAGCGCTTTGTGCCAATCCCTGTCGAATGACCTCACGCGGGCGGTCTGCTCGACAATAGGCTGCCGGAATTCTGCACGCGTGCTCGCTGAAATCATACCAAATCCACGCGTGTGTTGCCACTCGGTCAAATCAGACCATACAGGGCGTACGCGCGCGCATGACCAAAACAATCAACAGCCATCGCGCACCCACGCACTCTGTCAAGTAACGCCATGCGGGCCACGCCCGCGCGTCTCCGCGCGCGCACACGTCGAAATCACTACAAAACCATAGGTCCTCCACGCGTTTCTAACGTAGGTCTTCAACTGCACACGAGCGCCCAATGATTGATCTATAGCACTTCTGCCAAGGCTCTGAACTTCTGCGAACGCACACCTCCTCTTCGTGCTCTCTAGTAGCGTCGTTATCATCTTCGCCAGAGTCATCATTGCCACCGTCATCGTCATCATCATCATCATCATCATCACCACCATCATCATCATCATCATCATCATCATCATCATCATCATCATCATCATCATCATCGTCATCATCACCACCATAAGCGTTATCACCAACACCACCGTCGGCGTCATCGCCCCCACCGTCGTCATCAACATCATTGTCATCGTCATCGTCGTTGTCGCTGTCATCCTCTTCGTCATCAGCCCCACAATCAGCATCACGATCAGCAGCATCCTCATCATGATAATTACATTCATCATCAGCACCATCATCATCAGCATCATCATCAGCATCATCAGCATCATCATCGTTATCAGCATGAACAGCATCATCATCATCATCATTATAATTACCATGATCTGCATGATAAGTGTCCATGCGTCAGCACGCCAGGTGATGTGTCCTAACAAGATGCGCCTGGGTGGGTGGGCTGTTTGCTCGAGCATTGGAGCACATGGCTGCAGCTTCTACAAACGAATTGCACATCATAGCGTACACGACACTATGTGCATCGCATAGCTTGCACTGCATCGACTGCACCCCATATAACGCAGAAGATACCACAGAGACTGCGCACAATTGTTTGTACCAAATAGCTTGCCCACATATATTGCGTCAAATGTGCTTCATCACATACCGTATCGGTGTGAGCGTGCCTGATTTTGAGCAGGTCGAAGTAATGCCAGCGCTTCTCAGTAAGAGCGAGTCTGAGTGAGTACGAGCGGCGTCGCTGAGTCTGAATATTAGTATATGCGGGTGCTGGAGGGAGGGGGAACGCGGAAGGGTGAGCGTGAGGCAGAGGCGCCCGATGAATCAAAAGAGCCCCACACTCAGGAGGAAGTGATCGACGCTTTGTAAGACCAAACAAGCATGAAGCCCATGATCATCCAAGCCCCAATCTGTACGAGCGCACGTGAAGCCTGGATCCGGTAAATTCCTGATCGGCAGCAGTCATCCAAGCCCACTTTCCGAAATTCTCTCCCTGTCCTCCCGTTCCCTTCAGGGCCGCATGAATGCTGACAAACAGAAGGGCACAAAAGAAAAGGCAGCGGCCTTAAAGTCATGCTGCTCGGGGTCTACAGCACGCTGCACAAGCATCTTGCTTGTATCTATCTTTCCATTGAACACCTCGCGTGATGTCACCTGCTTGCCGACCCAGTCGCTCGTGACGCTCAGGATATCGTTCTTAAACTCGTCCAGAAGCTTCTGCGCAATCTTTAAAGAGGAGGCATTGTTGTCATCCGACCATTTGCAGCGCCACTCCCTCGCAACACAGTTGTACTCCACGCCAGGAGCAATCTGTATCATTGCGGCCGACATCCGCGCTGGCTCACCACTTGTGGGAAGGATGACAGGCTGAACCTGGCCTCCCTGGAAAAACCTTGGCCCGAATAGCTAAACGACGAGCTTGCGTAAATCCCCAAACCAGGGATGGAGAAAAGCGCATAGCAGACGCGGAGGAAAAGGAGGCCCTGTAGCGGGTGCAGGCGGAGCGAGACGACGGCAAGGAGGATGAAGGGGACAATGAGAAGAAGACGAAAGAGAAAAAGAAAAGCCTCTAAATAACTACGTCTTCCCATCGATGCAAGACAGATCATACGAACGGAAATTATCTCCTAGTTCAGAGGCTCATAATGTATTTTACGCACCACAAAACAAGCACTGCCACCACATGAGGAAGGATGCCACGGGTGTCCGCGAAGCTGGCGAATGCCTGCCAGCCTCCCCCTCCTCCTCCTCCTCCTCCTCCTCCTCCTCCTCCTCCTCCTCCTCCTCCTCCTCCTCCTCCTCCTCCCTGTCGCACCCCGAGACGTGTCGGTAGGGCGGGCCAGGCGCTTCGCCTGAGACTTCCTTGCGATCCTGAAACTGAGACTGTGAAACAGCTTCACGGATTGAGGGCGGGCCGTGTTCTATATGTGACTCAAGCCTCAGCGCCGCGCACATTCGTCCTAACAGTTTGCAAGAGCTTCACGGGTGTAGGGCGGGCCGTCTTCGAACTATGGCTCCCGCCTTGGCGCCGCGCACATTCGTCTTACGAGTGTGCAGGAGATTCACGAATGGAGGGCGGTTCCCTCGCGAAGTGTAGCTCTCGCCTCATCGCCGCGCACATGCGTCTAAAAAGTTTCAATATCATCAAGGAGTTTTATGGCCGGCGTCCCATAACTAATGTTTTGCCACGAGGTAGGACTATCAGTGCGCAATAGTCACGTCGACTCGCGGCTATGAAGTCCCTGGGACGGCGTTCTGGCACGATTCCGGAACTCCAGGACGCAACAGTAACGTTAATCGCGTCGCGTAGTCCCAAGAATGGTGCATTGCACGGATCCGGTTTTTCAAACGATTGTCTTCCAACGGGGCACTTCCCTAAGCGAAATCAAATCCTTTTGTATGGGGGCCTATCAGACAGGAACTTGGAGGGAGCGTTCGTTGCAATATCGTTGATGGGTCTTGGGTTTGCACTGGTCCTCCTCCTCCTCTTCTCCTCCTCCTCCTCCTCCTCCTCCTCCTCCTCCTCCTCCTCCTCCTCCTTCTACTTCTTCTGCTGCCATTCCCCCCACACGCCTGTCTCCTCCTCCCGTACCTCCCCATACTCCTCTCCTCCTTCTCCTCCTCCTCCTCCTCCTCCTCCTACTCCTCCTCCTCTTCCTCGTTCCCCCCCCGCCGTTCCTGCTTATCCCACATCCTCCATCCCCCTGCGGTATGCAGCACGCCCCCTATCGCACCACCACACAAGCCTGCATGCCCGGCCAGGCAGCTCGCTTGAGACGTCTCCTCCTCCCCCTCCTCCTCCTCCTCCTCCTCCTCCTCCTCCTCCTCCTCGCTGCCCTGGAGCCAACACAGAACATGATAGCTTCAGGGGTGCAGGGCCGATCGTTTACACAATGTCGCTCTCGCCTGCGTGCCGAGCACACTCGTCCAAGAAGCCGCACCAGATTCACGGATGGAGGGGCGGCGGCTTTCAAAACTCGGTTCTGGCCCCAGCGCTGAACCCACTCGTTTTCGCACGCTCGCCTCAACTTCAAGGACGAAGGGTCGATGATTTCAAAATGCGGCTCTCGCCTCGGCGCAGCGCACATTCGTATCCAAAGTGATCAATGGAGGCCGGCTCGTGTTCAAAATGTGCCTCTCGCCTTAGCGCCACGCGCATCCGTCTTATCAGTTTACAACAGCTTCAAGAGTGACGAGCGCCTCTTCTACAAAATGAAGCTGTCGCTTGAAAATGCTTCTTCGAAGTCAAAAACTAGCAGCTCAACCATATATACATATGTGTGAATATATATATATATATATATATATATATATATATATATGTGTGTGTATAGAACATATATATGTATACAAGTTGTGCGGATGGAAGGCGGTTCCGATCCAAAACAGGGTCCTTGCTTGAGACGTCCTCAAATGTCGCGGCCCCAGGTGTCAACAGGTGCAGCAGTCACAGTCCCTCTCGGGAACGGGGCGCTCGCTGGACACCCCGTCGAATTCTGTGATCGCACCGTCTCGCATCCGTGAACACTCGCTAGGAGGATGCAGGGCAGCCCTGATTCAATGCAGATCTCGCTCCTTGACTGGCAGGCCAATCAAGCGCTCGTTTTCCCACAGGCTCCTGCAGTGAAAAGGACAGCGTGTAAGGACCTATGCAAAGAGGAACTTGCAGCATCGTTGACGCATTCAGGGTTTACTCTGACCGGCCTCCTACCCCGACGCCTCTTCCTCCTCCTCCTCCTCCTCCTCCTCCTCCTCCTTCTCCTCCTCCTCCCTCCCTCCTCCTCCTCCTCCTCCTCCCTCCTCCTCCCTCCTCCTCCTCTCCTCCTCTCCTCCTCCTCCTCCTCCTCCTCCTCCTCCTCCTCCTCCTCCTCCTCCTCCTCCTCCTCCTCCTCCTCCTCCTCCTCCTCCTATGAGCCCCTTTTTCCCTCAACCCTCCACACCCCTCGCCACCTTTGCAGGGTGTCCACCGCCTTTGTCACGAGATTCCCCGGGGAATAAAAACGAGGCGAGGGGAGAGATGGAAGAGCAGGAGGAAACGGTGGAGAAATACACAACATCGTTTTGCCAGGGACCAGTGGATGTGAAGCTCCAAACCCGAGGCCCCAGGCTTGACACGCAAAAGGAAAAAAACAAACAAAAAAAAAACAAAAAAAACACAAAAAATGAACGGAAAGCGGGCGACCCACTCAGGGAGGAGGCGGGAGGGAGGGGGGATGGAGGAGGAAGCGGGGGAGGGGGGAGTACGGCTGCAGGATGGGGGATGGAATAAAATGTAAACGAATGATAAACGCGAGCCTGCTTTTTGCAGTAAGGCGGACTGCACAGCGGATTGTGCAATATAGAGGACGCGCTCAGCTGCGGCCTACATGGCAGAAGGGCGCACCCTGCCTGTACTGACTGACACGCTTGAAGAAGAGGTGACATACCGTCCGGGTCCGGTGTTCAAACAGATCCGCCGTGCCTGGTAAGCAGCCCAGACGCAAACCTTCCAGACCGCCACCGAAACCCGAAGTACTAGTTGCAGTGCTAAACGGACAGAACGGGGGGTTCTGCTGACCACACCCCTCATGAACACCAGCCCTGCCCATAGGACCTTCTGCTAACCAGGTTCTACATACAAAACATTGCGGGCATTGCCGAAGGGAGAGGCAGGCAGCAGACCACTGATGGAGCACAGAATAAACTATTACTGTTCGGCGCGCAACGGCCTGGCGCCCCACAACACGACCACAGTTCATGGAGACAGCCCCTCACTGGCGTGACTCACTGCGTCGCATTCGTGAACATAGTTCGTTACATGCGGGCCTCTTCGTACTGCGTCGCATTCGCGAACACAGCTCGCGAAATGCGCGTCAGCCAACGCATTCGCGAACACACATCGGACATGCGACGCCGACTTGATCGTTCGTCGTCGCTGTCATTACTGAAGTTGCTGCAGCTGGAGCTCGGCACTGTCTTCGCGTGACGCCCCTCAAGCAACCTCACCGCGGGGTGTACCTAGGCGAGCCCCCCCTCCATGTTGTACCGGATGAGTTCCCCGCCGATGTTCCCTTTCGTCATGGGGTCGGCCCTCGTGTCGCGGGTGTCGCACCACAGACTGTCGGATAGCTGCATGGTGCGCAGCTGGTCTGCCAGCCACTACAGGTGGCCTGCCATGCTACTCTCCAATGGCAGCTGCACGGGGTCTATGGCTAGCGCGGAGAAGACAGACACACCGTCCCGCAGACAGCTCGGCCAGCAACGCGCAACCGCCCTCCCCCCTCGGCCTCCTGATCTCCTCCGCCGAGGCGCGTCCGAGCGCCATCTCATGGACGCGAGGCGGCGCGCATGCAGACCGCCTGCTGCTCCGCATGCTGCGAGCAGCTCGGAGCCGAATAAGAATCTAAACACAACTTGGCGTGATCGGCTCACAGCGTCGGGCAAGTGGCACGTCTGTTTCCCTGCACGGCGATACTTGCCCAGCCACGTGTATACGACGCCTCTCATGACGCATCCCGACTCCTCCTCGCACTTGAAGGAGCAGTCGCTGCGCGCGCAGATCTGGCCCTCGCGCACCATCGCCGGGAAGACGAGGCGCGCTTAGATCTTCTGGATGGCCAGAAAAACGGAGCTGAGCTGCATAATGTGCCTGATGAGCAGCCTGTTCCTGGTCCGTTGCGGCGCGACGACGTAGACGGCCACGCGGCGTCGCGCGAGCAGCGCGAGGGCGGCTGCTCCGAGGAGGGAGACAAAGGTCTGAGAGTGGACCTCCGGCCAGCTCGTCGGCCTTCGATTTGACCAGGTCGATGCGCCCGATGAAGATTAGTGCGTCGATGTGACCGTCCTGGTCGAGCGTCACTGCGCCATCGGCAATGCGGCGTTGGTTGACTCTGCAGTTTGCGAGATCGTCGATGTCCCCCTTCCTCTAGCCGAAGACGCTCTCGATGTGGCCGATGACTCGGAAGACGCGCTACGTGCACCCTGCGATCTCAAGATCGCCAACGCGCCTTATGAAGCATGAGCAGCACGAGCACTAACTCCGAGGCGCCAGCACCACAGGTGCTGGAAGCCTCCTGCTTGACCTCAAGCTCTGGGCCCCACCGCGTCGGCTGGGCGCTGCACTCGAGCGAGCGCGCGACCCAGGCAATCTTCACGGCGACAGCTCTAGGCGCATCCTTGCAACCCGTGCCCGGCATGATGCAGCGCAGGCACTCCGTCCGCTCGTCGAAGGACTCGCAGCCTGGGACCTGCCCGAGGACGGCCGCGCTGCTGGTGCATCACCTCTCTTGGTGCATCGCCCTGCTCCTGCATCCCGGCACAAGTCATGCCCCGCGGGAACGCTTTCTCGACGTCCACGGCGACGCGCACCCAGTCTGGGCGGTAAGCCGCCTCTGAAGACAGAATGCGCCCAGACGCCCGCGTCGCTGTT